TTGATGTATAAATATGACAAATGATACATCGTTGTTTACACAATTTTTGACACTACAATATCTCATAGTTGAAAAATATTAAAATTAACTGTCCACTCGAACCGTACAAATAGATGTACTTAGGATTAAACCCACTGTACTCTATGATACCAACTCAGTCATAAGGAAACATTTTTCGACAAATTTCACTGTACAGTATAAACCTAGCCAGGCAAAATTAGGAGAGTTATGCCCGCCCCCTGTAAAAAATACACCTGTTCACAGTGTTCTCCAAATTCATCCCAACATTCATTCCTCGGAATCGTTGTGCAGTTTTTGACTAGAATATTATTACATTCTTTGTGAGGAACGTTCGTGCATTTCTTGTTTGGTTTGTAAGAACATTTCTGGATATTATGACAATCCTCGTAGGGAAGCTTGGAACACTGGGCTTCAGGAACCTGGTAGCAACCTGTATCTCCGGCCTTTAAAACATTTTCATGTAAAATTTGAAAAAGGGCATTTTTCCTTCAGCTTTCAGAACAAAGTCATATACATAACTTGCAATCTCGGTCTTAGTAAGCTAAGAACTTAAGTTGGGTGAAAAAGGCAGGATTTTTTTATTTTAAAGCAGAAAAATTCACTAAATTTTCAGGATTTATAATTATTAATTTTATAAAAATGAATTATCTCATACACTTTAAGTCATTTTCATTTTCATTTTCTAAGTAAACAGACCATTTAATCTAATAAAAATAAATTGATTTAAACAGTTTGCTTAAAAATAGTTGCACTTTATATGTTAACTGCAAGTTGAATATTTTTTAATTGATAAGCTAAGCTAAGCCAACTGCAACTAAACTGAAGGTAATACTTAAAAAACCCAATTCTTGATTATACAGTATATAATATGATCAAGAAAAATATAAAAATATAAATTAAATTATTGGACACAAAAGAGAAAGAGAGATATTGTTTAGAAAATGGGAAAAAATGTATGAAAATGTTGTCAACGGAGAAACTTGAAGTTTTACCTTTGAGACAAGTTTATAAATCAGGTCGTTGAAGGTAGAGCGTTTTCTCCGAGCCATCTCAACAATAGGCTCAAGAGCAGCTGGCAGCTGAACACTGGGCTGCACAGCAGCTGGCATTCTGCTGCTCTTACGAAGCTGACCCACACGTGATAAAGCTTTCTTAATGGCCGCATCTTCTGGGGATAATCCTAGGATTATGGAAACATTTATAATTTATTATTGTCAGAGTAAAGAGAAGGCAACATTGACCTGAAAAATTAACTTTTGACTTAATACAAAAATTTATTTAATATCCCCGAAAAAAAAAACTGGAAAACAATATTTTCACAGGCGGAGGGGGAGGGGAGAGATTTTTTATGAAAATGTAACTAAAAATAGGAATTTATAGATTTGATAAACCTTACAGACATGACAAGTTGTTCTAATTTAGTAATAAGAGTAATTAAAAACCTGCTACAGCTGCAGATCTTTTCCATTTTGATTCTAAAATCTCCTCTTCAATCTCAGGTTCCTCTTTAACCTCAGGTTCCTTCTTTCCATGTTCCTTTTTAGGACAAACTGTTTTCATGAGGGTAGTGCACTCTTCCTGGACACAAAATTATTTTCTTAATATAAGATTTTGAGATTATAAAAAATGTTAGGACTATATCTTGTATTATCGACTTGAAAAGAATTCGGTATTAAATTGCCAAAATATGGAATAACAAAGCATGTTTCCACATAAACGATTTATTTATATTATAACTATACAAACAATTAGTGTTGAATTACACACAACATTCAACTCTTCTCTTCAGATACTTCGTGCTGACTGACTTGTCCTAAGGGACCCCAGGGATAAGATCGCGGACAATCTGCTTTCTCTCCTGGGCCGTTATCTCCTTTCTCCAGCATCTATCTCACCTTATCTGCCCCTTAAATGGGACCACCTTGCTGCCTCTATATAAGGAAGGGAGTTCCATACCATTATGTATTTATCCTGCACCCATACCCAGAATTCAATACCCTTCTGGACTGGGTCTGGATTGTTTGGCTTTATTTTTAGATTGCATTTGTTATGTGCATCATTTCTCCAACCGGGAGTAATGAACTTATATGAGATTAAATACATAGGGGAATGAAACCTCAGTGGGTTTACAATATCATTTTAAATTTGATTTCGTTAATTGCAATAATACTAAAAAAGTCACCTTGTACTGTGTTGAACACTCTTGTTTAACTGAACAACTTTGTTCTTGTTCAATCCAGCATTTCTCCTTCATAACGTCAATACACTGTTCCATAGGCTTATCCCAGCAGTGTTCATCCTGTTCAAAACATTGTTTAGAAACTTTCTATCCTATAAAAACATTGTGTATTAACTGTTCAAAATTGAAAAGTAAAAAAATAAAAGATGACGTCCATTGGTAATTGATGACGTCCTCATGACGTCCTTCAGACATCCCCTGGTTGATAGGGTATGGTGTCAAGAAGTGAAAGAATTCTTTAACTTTTCCCAGATCCCTGCCCAACAAGAGTAGAAAGAAGGGAAAGAGAAAGAGGAGACATTTAAAACCTTTCTCTCAATCCTTTTCTGGGCCCCAGGAAACTCAGCAGTCTAAGGTGAGGACCTAAGAGTCTCCCTGGACAGTTGTGAACTACCAGAAGAATCCACAGACCTGGGTTAGATTCCAGAAGAACCCCAGTCCTGAGGAAGGGTCCCAGAGAAGCCATCAGTCAAAAGAGAGGTCCCAAAGAACCCCCCCAGCCTGTTGAGAGGTCCAAAAATCCCAGTCTAGAGATAGGTCCCCAAAAACCCCCCAGCCTGTTGAGAGGTCCTAAAGATCCCCCCAGTCTAGGGAGAGGTCCCCAAAAACCCCCAAGCCTGTTGAGGTCTCTACAATCCCCCCAGTCTAGTGAGTGAGTGAGTGAGTCTAGTGATGGAGATGATAAGACACTTAAGCATAGAGTCTGAACCTGAACCTAGCCTTGAACCTGAACCTTGATCATGAACCTGAACCTAGCCTTGAACCTGAACCAGATCATAAACCTGAACCTAGCCGTGAACCTGAACCTAGACATGAACCTGAACCTAACCATGAACCTGAACCTTGCCTTGAATCTGAACCTATGTTTGACCCTGAGCATGAAACAGAATCTGAGAGATATTTTCGAATTTTAAAAACATGTATAACTAATCAACTAATCACCTAACAAACCAATCAATTAATCACCTACCCCGTCAAGTTTCAACAATTGTGTAGAAACTGTTAATCCTGTTCAAAAATTGTGCATAAACTCGTTCATCATGTGCATAGCATTGTGTATCGACCCTATTCCTGCTGGGGAGGGTGGGGGTTAAATCCCCCCAGTAGTTTTTTTACATAACTTAAAAGTATTGGTCTAAGGCTGTTGGTCTAAGACAGTTCTCAGGCGCACTGCCTGAATGACTACTTTTCCAATAACGAACTAAATTTTTGTTTTGACCCACTTTCAGTTGGTAGATTTTGATAATTTTTAAGCAGATTGCACAAGTTTTGCAGAGAAATTTTACAAATTATTTGCATACACACCCCGTCAAAAGAAATGTGCACGTTTTTAGTTTTTCTAAATAACTTATAACAAATCCTGGGTTATTTAAAATTTTGCACAAATTTGTGCATTTTTGAATTGGCATGGTCTAGGGTTTCTCAAAAAATATATTTTATCATATTTTGGACCTTTTTTGCAAACATTTTACTAGATAACTGGATTTGGCAAAAAAATCCATTTTTGAAATATTTTTAGGGCAGATTCTCAAAGTATAATAGCTTTCCCATGATTTATCATTAGTTATATTTAGACATCAAACATTGGATTTAGAGGATTCTTTATCAGGTATTGAGGTATTGAGGTATTGAGGTATTGAGGTATTGAGGTATTGAGGTATTGAGGTATTGAGGGTACCGTTGTGAACGGGATATGTTCCTCTCGATGGGAAAACTCGAGAGTCCCTAGAACTTGAGTTAGTCATTTAAAAAAATCGTATCTTGGCAGTTTACCTGGTGACATGTTTGAAAAGGAACATCAACACAATGTTCCCTGGGAACCTGCGTACATTCCTGTCGTGGAACCTTGGAACAGGAATGTCGAGTCTCTAGCCAACATTGCTCATGAGGAACATCTTCGCATTTCTCAACATCCTCATCCCAACATTTCTCACGGGGAACCTAAATTCAACAAATTTATCAATGTCGTCTTATTTAAACACTAAAATGTCGTCTTGCGTAATGAAAACATCTACGAAATGAAGTCTAGTCTTAGATAAATAATCATCGAGATATTAGTAATAGAGGGGGCATCTGGAATTTTAGACTTCTTGTTGTACATTCTGTTCATCCTGTTCATATCGTTTTGGGCTATGTTCATCAACAAACGAAAAATTAGAAAAAAATGTTATCAACATTTTCACACATTTTGCGAAATTCAGTGTATTTTCGACCATTTCTTTAAAATATTTGTCAAAATGTTTATTTGAACCATTGCTCACAATCGAAATTATTATGACGACATTAATTCTATTCTTGGCCCAGAATGTTTTTGATAAATTTCAAAATGTGACGAAAACACATAAGTTCAAAAAGCCGGACCGATTTTTACCTGTACAACCCTGCACTGTTGCTCAACGGTCTGTTGACACTGGTTTTCGTACTCCATGGCACACTGTTTCTCAACGTGCTTCCCGCAAGACTTGGTGTAGGTCGTCTTACACTGGTTTTCAGGAATATCTTTACACAGCTCTTCCTAGTTGAAATAAATCAGGTTCTTACTACCCTACTCAGTTCATAAAATGTTGAAGTTTATAAAAAAAAATCTGTCCTTGCAGTTTGCATTATATTAGTTTAATATCGTCTTCCCTTTAAACAAAAAAATCTCTTAGTCTTTTGACAAACGAAAGATGTCAAAGAAAAAAGGATAAACGGTAAAATGCAAAAAAGAATCGGAGTTAGAAGACACAGAAGACGACATTTGTAGTAGTAGTTAAGAAATTTACCTCCCAATCCCTACACTCCTCATCCATATGCTGGGTACACTCTGTGTTGTGTCCTGTAGTACATTTCTCAGTGTACTGCTGACTACACTTCTGATTGTACTCAACAGTACATTTAGGGACCATCACATTCTCACAAATCTTAAAGAAAAGTATATTTTGAAATATTAAAAAAAAACTTTAATTTTCAAGTGGCTGGAAAAAGATTGGAAATAAATGTAAATAAACTAGGTTTAATCAGTCCCATAAGACCAGCCGGCCTTCTTTTATTTGCAGAAAACGTGTTGGATCACCTACATCTATGGATACAATAAACAAAGAAAGCTGTCAATTTACACCTTCACTTTGTTAGCTTTTAAACTTGTTCAATTTGTAAAAAGCTTGTTATAGAAATCAAAACTTAACATAAGTCGTTTTCATTGTTTTGATATAAACGCCAATTATGAAACCGAACTAGTGCAAGTAAACTGGTATCTTTGTACTTGTTCGGATCGTGATACTTTTTTTCTGTTAAAAATGCTATTGACTTCATTAAAAAACATTTAAATTATGACGGAAAAAAAATGCAAAAATAGGTGACTAAATGTTTCGGACGGGTTGACAACTAAATCGATTCAAATGAAACGTTTGTACTGTAGATATACAGTGCAGTGCAGGCGTTGTGAATTAGTGCTATTTTCTTCAAAAGTTCCGACCAAACAATTGCAAAAGTGCTATTTTATTCAAAAGTTCCGACCTAACAATTGCAAATATTTTATTCAAAAGTTCCGACCTAACAATTAGTGCTATTTTCTTCAAAAGTTCCGACCTATCAATTGCAAAAGGTTTATTCAAAAGTTCCGACCTAACAATTGCAAAAGGTTTATTCAAAAGTTCCGACCTAACAATTGCAAAAGGTTTATTCAAAAGTTCCGCCCTAACAATTGCAAAAGCTACCTCTTCATATTTAATTTCACAGTGTGGCTGCTTCTCATCCTTCCATTCTGTTCTACAGTCAGAAGATTTACGGATCTACAAGAGAACATTTTAGAATAGAATTAAAGAAACTGTTTACTGGTTGCGCAAACACACAGTGAGAACAAGAAAACTGAGGAATAGGAAAACGAAATTAAAGCAATATTTAAGTTTACTAGCCTTAGAGGGCGCTTCGCGCCATCTTCTAAATTAATTGTGAACATGTTCTCTTTGTGTCCATCGTAAAACAAAACATTTTCACAAAATATTTCGTGGATTTTCAAAATTTTCAAAAATTTAATGAAGATCGAATTTTGATGGAGACAAATATTTGAAATTTTGATCATTCATAAACCTTCCCTGGGGTCCCTTGATGTTCCACAAAAATTTGGGCCCGATCGGTTCAGCCGTTTTGACGTTTATTGGATACAAACAAACAGACACCCAGACAAGCCAAATTTATATATAGATTTATTATTGATTTGTTTGTGTTCCAATATGTCCAACAAACAGACACCCAGACAGACAAGCCAAATTTATATATAGATTTGATGTTGCAAAGCAAATAGTTTTACTAGTAACTTAATGACTAAATACGTGAAACTGGTCTGTTTAAACTGCACAATTGCTGTGTCTCATCTCATGCTCATTGGACTAATTTAAGTCATAATCAAGACTAAAAGTCGGCTGCCTATTTCAGAGAAAATTAAGTTTTGAGACCCGTGTTCAGTTTGTTTGTTCAGAATCTTTAAAAAAATGTCCGATTAAAGTTTCTTTTGAAATCATATGAAAAATATCAAAAACAATAGAAAATATCATTAAAAATGTAAATACCAATATTATCCAAAAAAATGGGAGGACAAAAAATGTAAACTTCGCGCTTAAAATTTTGTCAGAAAACACAAATTTTGCTATTTTTAAATACAATGGAAAACAATTAAAAAATTGTCTTCATCACCTAAAAAGTACAAAAAATAACCTACCCTGTCTCCTAGAATAAACCTCCATTTTTTCTCAATCAAACCAAGTTTATGCTTCACTTTTTGTTCGTAGAGATTATCTAGTTTACGGGCAATTGATTTCAGATCCAGCTCAGACTAAAACATTCTTCATTATAAGTTAAAATACAAAATACTTTTTTATTTCACAAAAACAGTAGAACCATCTCCCTTCAACCATATTTAAGGATTAATAAAAAATCAATCTTTTATAAAATTTAATCAGAATTTAGATTGCTTGCTTTAGCTGAAATTCTATAATGTAATTAAGGGGTCTTTGAACTTTCATACTGTAGATAATACATATTTATCCTTGTCATGGATTTTGGCTTTGAGAGAAGACTGCATTCTCAAGTCTTTTTTTGGGGAATCATCCATTATTTTGAAACATTTACGCAAATGTATAGTTTTACAGAAGTACATTACGATGTTCTATCCTTTTTTGATGGATTGAATATATAGGCAAATGAAAAATAACTCTTTATTAAAAAAAACTCTGTAGGTCGAGGAAATATCCGGATATCGAAAATTATAAATTCAGAAAGGGAAAACAAATAATTTCCCTTGTGGATCGGTGGATCGGTGTTCAGTACATTAATAATATATTCAAATTAAATTTTAACATCCCTAGGAAATGTAATAAAATAATCTATTAAAGGTTGTTAACTGCAGTAAGTGACCCCTCACATTAAGAACATGTCCAATTCACAACTATGTATACCCTTTTAAACTTTATTTGAAGAAGTTGAAGATATTGTCGTTCTTTGACTAAAAACCTGATTTGTTTAAAATATTTCCTCCGTTGTTTTTGTAGCTTAGATCCGTGAGTAACATTGGTAGAGAAACAACAATTTCGTAATAATCAATTTTCAAAGTAAAACATGGACATTTCATTTATTCTTAATCAGAGCTGGAATATTTTCATCCGTACTTTTTGAAAACATATGACGTCTCCACTTACTCACGTCCTAAATACGGAGGAATTAAGTACTGTCTAAATGGGATTTTCTACAACATTTAGTGTCCGACCATAAACTGCAACATCGCGCGACCCCTATGAAAATAAAAAGAAAGCTGTTCAATACACTGCAGAATAAATTTTCAGGGATACTTTTAATTGACGACTTTCAAAAATATTAAATTCTCAAGAAGCAGCATCATGGATTATAATAATTTTCGTGAAATAAAACTACAGAATATTAAATTTTTTATTTAGTTTTTATCAAAATCGGATTAAAATTTGACTTTTTGAATTAAATTGTATTATTAAAATTGTGATTACTATTTATCCCTGTATTTATAAAGTTGTATTGTGTGCAGGTGCTGACATCTATAATAAGGTTAACTCACGGCGAAATTATGTGAGTAAACATGACGTGAGTAAGTCTGTCTGTCCGAAAATAACTAACGGGAGACATCTAGCGGAAAAACACTATAGNATCTGACAAGTGAAAGTGGGTCAAAACAAAGATTTAGTTTGCTACAGGCAAAAGCAGTCATTCAGGCAGTGTGCCTGAGGACTCAGGCAGTTAGTATTAAAGCCCGGTTTTAGGCCTAAAGAGAGGGCTTTGGGTATGTAAAAAAAGTCAGAAAATTTCAACAGCCTCAGACCAATACTTTTTGAGTTATGTAAAAAAACTACAAGGGGGGGTCAAATTGACCCCCCCCCCAGCAGGAATAGGGTTAAATATTACTTAATAAATATACTTAATAAAACTAAAATATTCCGGCTCAGACGAAGGTTTTAATGAGAACTGTAGTGAATCGAAATTTCACTTATAAATTCAGTATTTTTACCTGTGTCCGAGGTAAAATTATGGTAATTAATAAAACGCAACCAAGCACTTTTAAGCCTAACATTTTCAGTTCTTTCTCTGAAAAAGTCTCAAAATTAATTGATTTCTAAAATTAAATGGGAAATGTTTTCCTGAATTTCTAGACATACAAAAATTATTGAACAAGAATAATTCAAATTGATTTCTGTCTGTTTTCATAAAATAAAAATCAAGCAAAAAGTGATTTGTTTGAAGAATATCAAGAAATTCACACTTCAAAGGTTATATTTAACTGAGTGTAAAATACAGTGAAACAGGTTCTAATTGTGTTTTACATTTGTGACCGTAAGGTGTACACCTGTATTTGTGCGCTGTATTACTGTACAAGTGTACAGTACGGTCAAAGTGAAATCCGACCAATGAATATATTTCACCAGGAACTTACAAACCATACCACACGTCGATCATAGACCTAACACATACATTTAGGATCGTGTTATGTTAATTGAACTACAGTGGTGTGGACTGTGGACTACTGAATTTATGAACATCTAATCATTTGGGAATTTAAGTTTTTTGGTTGTAACATAATAACTAATCTTTAGAGTAGATTTTATCGATTATAAACTGCATTATTCGATTGTTTGAATTACATTTTTGACATAAATTCAGAAAATAAAAAGTATAAATGAATAAAAGTAACAAAAAAAATGCTGCAGTTTACTACAGAGGCCGTTCCTTTCATAAACTACATTGGTCGACAACTTGACGTCTCCTATATTGTTCGTCAAGTGTACGGAGAAATTATCTAACTATCAGATAAGAATTTAGCATGAGACCACTACCTATAGAGAGAACGGGCTCAGTTGAGGTCAAAACAAAAAGTTCAAAATAGAACAGATTTTATGTTGAAGTAAAAAATGTTCTAATCAGTTTGAGTTATGTTTGAATCAAACGTCCAGCTTGAGCTTTAATTCATTTTAATCGATATAAATTGTTCCCTCCATTCAAAAGATGTCAGTTCAGCTCATTTAAAAAGTAAGACAGTGACAATCAGTTTAGAGAAATAATTTATAAAATTGTACCCTTGTCCTTTCATATCTTTTTGCTTTGGTTACCTTTTCAATAGAATGATTTATTTAGTACAATAAATATCCTTTATTCTCCTTTTTATCAACTATTCATCCAACATAAATCTTTTCTATTATCATCAAAAATGTTCCCGCTTCGTCCAGGGGGCGGGGGGCACATATTTCTGCTCATTTCCACCCCTCTTGGTAAAATCCTGAATACTCTCCAGAGTCATTGGTGATAAATTAGAAATCAGATTTATTGCTCCGGATGAACGTTGGTTCCATTGCGGAGTTTAAACAAAATAATTTAGTTGAAAAATGCATCCCAGGGTCTATTGAGACTGTTAAAATGTTGAATATTCAGTAAGTTGTGAAAAATAACTTTGCAAAGTTTTAAAGTTTAAACAAGCTTCGTATTCAGAGCATATAGTTAAATACTTTAAAATCTCTTGAGAGGGGGAGGGGAGATGATGAGATGAGGAAAGAGGGGGGCTAGAGGGGGGGGGGGTTCTTCAAAAAGAATGAGGAAATTCTGAAGTAAATGCCGTACTCTTAAAAGTCGGTAACCCAAACTATATCAGTCCAGGCACAACCAGTCCGCTATCAAAGTCAATCAGACGCAACCCACCTGGCTCTAAATGCCACACAGGGACAAACCCGTAGCTTATCAATCTAACTATTACTCAGGCTCTAAATGCCACAAAGGGACACAAAATTATAGCTTAACAATCTAGCTATTTCTCATGCTCTAAATGCCAGACAGGGACACAAGCATAACTATTAACAAGCTATATATCGATCCCAAATGATGGGGACGATCCTAACTGTTTACCAAAACTGGGTTTCAGTCTAGCTATCAACAAGCTATTACTTCGGCTCTAAATGTCACACACGGAAACAAGCGTAGCTATCAGCAAGCTATTACTTTTGCTCTAAATACCACACAGGGGCTGAGTTGTAGCTATCAAGAAGCCATATATCGATTCGAAATGATGGGGACGCTCCTACCTGTTTATCAAAACTGGGTTTCAGTCTAGCTATCAACAAGTTAATAAAACTCAAAGCGGAGTTCTGATTCTAACTAGCTATATTTAAGGTCTATATGTTACAAGTTAAAGTTAATAAAACTCAAAGCGGAGTTCTGATTCTTACTAGCTATATTTAAGGTTTATATGTTACAAGTTAAAGTTAAACAAACTCAAAGCGGAGTTCTGATTCTTACTAGCTATATTTAAGGTTTATATGTTACAAGTTAAAGTTAATAAAACTCAAAGCGGAGTTCTGATTCTAACTAGCTATATTTAAGGTTTATATGTTACAAATTAAAGTTAATAAAACTCAAAGCGGAGTTCTGATTCTAACTAGCTATATTTAAGGTTTATATGTTACAAGTTAAAGTTAATAGACGTATTCACAATTCCTACGTCGTTATCTATATCACATGATTACGGCAATCATGTAACGTATTGTTACAGCACATTTAAGATGTGCGTATTTATAGGATTAGCGAGGGTAGATTGTGCAGTTAATCTCCACACATGTTTTTAAGTTGAACGTACGTTTGAAAAGGGTTAAAGCTAATCATGCAACACATTCATTTGAAACGCAGTTCAAATGAATAATGGGTTTTTACGTAGAAGTTTACAAACATAGATAATTAATAATGTAAGTTTACAGAATATCATGCGACCCGATATTTATTACAATTCAACTTGAGGAAAACATTTATTACAGAATATTTTTAACTTTTGTTCAAATCCCAATTTATCCTCTTGTCTTCTGGAGACAACAGGATTAAATACATTTTATATTTTTCCTATTTCTGTGTTTTATTTATACAGTAAAACTTTGAAGATACAAATTTTTATCCACTAAAGCGCTGAGTTAACAAATAGCATGTGTATCCTAGACTAAAAATCAGATTTGGGCTTGTCAGTGAAGTTTAAACATTCTGACGTGAAAATCAATTATGATTTTGCCAAGTATTTACTTCATTACAGAATCTAGGAACAAGTGCTTTTCGGCTTAAAATCATTTCGTAAGTCAGTCAACGTATTTTTTTCTTATATTTCAATTCGAGCAGTATGCAGAGAAAAAGTAAACACTATTCCAAATCAAAAGAAAGCATTTTATTCCAATTTCTTGTAAATTAATTGACACTTAAAACATATATTGGAAACTCTGAAACCAGCTCTTTCTATACTTTCTATTTGTAGTTCTTTCGAATTGCAAAGAAAATTGAATTTGTGATTTCTATCTGTCTATTTGTCAAATAATTTATCTATCTATCTGTCTTTCTATTTTTTTGTGTAAATATCTTTCAATTTATATATCTATTCGTATATTATCTGATATTATCTGATATTATCTGAACTTATCTATCTAAGTAGTTATCTATTTATCCATCTATTCATTAAATCAGATGATCATCACCCTAAATTCAACAGGTTTTTAAAGCCAGTCCCAAACCTAAAGAATATTTAGTCCCAAACCTCAAGAATATATAGCCTTAAACCTCAATAATATAGTCCCAAACCTCAAGAATATTTAGTCCCAAACCTCAAGAATATTTAGTCCCAAACCTCAAGATTTTATAGTTCCAAACCTCAAGAATATATAGCCTCAAACCTCAGGAATTTAGTCCCAAACCTCAAGATTTTATAGTTCCAAACCTCAAGAATATATAGCCTCAAACCTCAGGAATATAGTCCCAAACCTCAAGAATATTTAGTCCCAAACCTCAAGATTTTATAGTTCCAAACCTCAAGAATATATAGCCTCAAACCTCAGGAATATAGTCCCAAACCTCAAGATTTTATAGTTCCAAACCTCAAGAATATATAGCCTCAAACCTCAGGAATATAGTCCCAAACCTCAAGATTTTATAGTTCCAAACCTCAAGAATATATAGCCTCAAACCTCAAGAATATAGTCCCAAACCTCAAGATTTTATAGTTCCAAACCTCAAGAATATATAGCCTCAAACCTCAAGAATATAGTCCCAAACCTCAAGAATATAGTCCCAAACCTCAAGAATATAGTCCCAAACCTCAAGAATACATGGTCCCAAACCTCAAGATTTTATAGTCCCAAACCTCAAGAACATATAGTTTTTAGATAGGATTGAAACATCCATCTAGAGTATTGTAAACATTTGACATCATGTAATATTTCCCTGTCACATATTTAGCATTAATTTTCCTCTTTTGGCGGTAGATCTTGTTTATACAGAGAGAACAACTTAATACTCAAGATTACACTGTTAGAAGAAATATTGACTGACCCACGCTCCACTAGACAGAGAATGTGGAATTTTTGCGACATTACAGGCTACAGCTACAACTTTGTAACCTTGTAGCTCTTCCCATTTTGATTTTATGCACAAGTTTAAGAGGAGAAAATAACTTGGCTGGGTACGTACAAAAAAACTTTTTAATAGCTTTTTAGTCCTCATATGGAAAAAAAAGTTACGATTGAAAATTAGAAGATTTAAAGAAAAAAAGATCTGTGTTTGTTAATTCTTTTTTGTTGTACTTAAAGCCATAACATTCTGTTATCATGTTTTAATTTAATTTAAATGAAAACATCGGATAGACATGAAAATTAATCAAAAATTCACCCGGCTGAAATGTGGTCATTTGATAAAAATGCATGGTTTAAAATATCTTGTTGGAACTAGCTCGTAACTTTAAAAAAAGGTAATTTCAAGGAGATTTTTGGAAAACATTTTATAATACATATTATTTCTAGTGTAATATGGGTTTAACTCTAGAATTTCAGAAATGGTAAATGTAAAGAACAGAACCAAAAAACCTCAGCAACAAAAAATACAAAAGTTTAATACTCTCTGATGATGTCTTTTTCGATCTCGGTTGAAATAATTTCTAATCTTATTAAAATTCATACATAGTTGAAACTTTAAATCTGCGAATACAGATTTAATTCTGAAAACTTTTTTTCAAAACTTTGATGCAATTTAGAAAATTAGTTGAGATCCTTTGAAGTTAGAAATCCACGAAAGAAGTTTCAATTATCCTTCTTTTTCATGTGGATTTTCTAGCTTGTCCTAAAGAACTATTTTCTTTAAACAAATAATTTCACTTGCCAATTACGCATCCAGAGTTGTGCGTAAATAAATTGAGTCTTTTTCATTTCTCATTTTCTGATCCCTTTATGCTAACTGATGTCGGTGACCTCAGATATTTCAAACTATGAATTCTGTTAAATCAAGTTTCAAATGTTAAAGATTAATACCATCAGGTTTTAAATATATAGTTGGATTAGAAGATTGGAGTTTGTAGCAAAGACTTTTCTTTGAGACTTCAGAAACAATCTTAAAATTTTATTTAATCTCCCGGTTTTAAATCACCCGTGGCACGATACACATTAAAAAAAACTTATTTCTGAAAGAAAATTATAATAATTTTAGAAGTCAAAATTATGCATGTTCAGACCATGTTCAAAGAGTAGCAAGAAAAAAAAATTGTTTTGAATTTCTAATAAACACAAAAAATGTACTTCTCTTAAACTTCAAAATAAGAACTAGGGAAGCTACGAGATCATAAAGTCGTAGCATTAAATTTGCATTCTTCTTCTGTCAGGTTTAGCGTGAACTGGTTTAACTTAGAATACATGTATAACAAGTTCTTCTTGATTTTATAAAAATGGTCTCTGAAAACAGTATTTTAAGATATCCGTTTCATCCCCAAAGATGCATCCTTTATAGTAGACAATTAGGAAGATCAATATTTAGCAGTGCACTCCCATCTATTAGGTTTGGATTTTAAAACAGTAGTTAGAAAAGACAATTTTTTCAATAATTGAAATTTGTGGAGTTGAGTTTTTGCCACACACAGAAATTTCCTAATCTCTATATCTCTATTTCATAATTCATAATTTGAAATATCAAAGGTCTGAAACATCGGGTTGGAAAGATATAGGTATTCGAAAATCAGAGTTTGTGGCTAAGAGTCAATTCCTTTAGGATGAATGATTCACTAATGCAAGGGAAATATTAAAATTGTTAAAATTAGTTGATAGTTATCCAAATTAAAGGCAAAAAACTGAGTTTTGAGACCCAAAAATGGCCCCAAAAATCTATTTTTGGCAATATTTCAAAAACATTTTTTTAAATATCAAAGCAAAAACGTATAGAGCATCAATTGTGCAGGTCACCGTTTTTTATCCATAGTTTTTTTACTTAAAAGCCTGAAATTCGGAAGAAAAAAACACTTTTACCGGAACATGACATCACACAGGGTAGCGGGAGTGGGGGGGGGGGTTCTGATTCTATAAAAGACGAAAATCGATCAGATACCTCTGTAAATAGTAAAAACACTAAAAAAGTTTAATCAGACCTAATAATCTCGCAACCTCGTTGAAAGAAATATTTATTGAAAGTAAATGTATTGTTTATATATTGTGTATATTGGGATTAGTTAATGCTTTCAATACAAAACACATCTTAGCCACCATTGTTCTAAAGATTTATATCATTGATTTTATAATCCATCTTTAAAAGCGGTTTACACAATTTTACAGGGTGACCCAATAAAACTTTACAATCCACTTATTTTCTGTCAGATCATTAAAAAGATCAATCATTGGGTCCATATTACGAACATAAATGTTGAGAAAAACACTCTAAGAAATGTCAAATTTTGTTAGATGAAAATGTGACATTTTTAGAATGAACCTTGAAATGGTGTCGATGTAAATAATAATTGGAATGAAGACATACTTGAAATTAAGTTAGCCATTCCATATATTTTTAACGTTTATTTGGACTCCCTGACCTTGATGCAAGATGACCTTCGACTTGCAATAAGCTGAAAAAAAATTGATTTACCAGATCTTGTAGATAAGATATTTGCAACAGGAAACAAGTAATAGAGTTTATTAAGGACACAAGCCACGAAAGGAAATTAAAAAACAATAAAGATAAAAAAGTTGTAAATAATATGAATATATCAATTGAACCATGTTTATTAACTGAAAAGGAGCTAATTAGAAAGATTGGAACTATGAACAACTCAAGGTTATAATGCAAGGAAAGTCAATTGCAGTTGTGTATACTCTGCGTACATATTGAAACCAGTTCTCTCTAAGCGGAATTTGTAAACAAGAATAGATGCATCGGTGTTCGTTTAGTATCCGAGGAGGTTAAAAGCATTAAATTTTGATAATTTTGATAATTCACATAAAAGTTTCCTATGACCAGAATATTTCATTGATTTTTATGTGAAAGATGGATCCTGTGCCAGGCTTCGACATCCGTCTTGTGTTTACATGACCGCCAGTACACTGCAGTACAAAAGAGATGCGTACACCTCTGAAATAACTTTCCTTGCATTATAACCTTGGAAAAACTGCTCTTAGGTGGGAACTTTGTATTGTGAATTTCTGAATTTCGAGATCAATATTTGATCTCGGTCTGTTGTTAATCTACTGATTAATTTAGTCTTTATTCAATATCCGCAATGTTATATTACCCTGAAGGGATAACTTAAATGAAGAGATTCAGTTTTCGCAAACAACCTGTCAAAGGAAATTTGCATATTTTTTGTTTTTCTTGATTAAAAATCTGGTTATTTAAAATTTTGCAAAAATTTTTGCATATTTAAAATGGCATGGTCAAGGGCTTTTCAAAAATGTATAATTTTTCATTTTTTGGACAAATTTGTTGCAAACATTTTTACTTTATAACTGGATTTTGCGATAAAAAAATTTTATTTTTGCAAATTTGCAAATTTTTTTGCAGATTCTAAAAGTAGAGCACAAGAGCTTTCCAATGATGTATCATTTGTCATATTTGGACATCAAACATGGGATTTAGAGGGAATTGGACCCCCCCCCCCCCAGCATATCCTGGTTTTCAAGTACCCCAGCAGAGATAGGGTTAAGTTAGAAAGACAATTGAAAAAAGGCGAGAAATGGAGAAGGTTCATTTTTATAGATTATTTTAAAAATATTATTTTCAATCTTGAAGTCGTCTTACTATTCCAAATTACTTTAGCGATTACTTTAGACATAAAGAAAGCCGCCTTTGACCTTTGGTTTGTACAGTTGGAAGCATAAAATTATTAAAAATTTCATCTTTTAAACGTGAAAACGAATCAGTATTTTTTTTCAAGAACAAACTATAATCTGATTTTTTAAAAACTTACTTTATACTCTACGGAATAAAGTAAATAAGCCATTTCCCAGCTTGAGATTTTTGATCTAACTGTCTCTATAAATGTTACCCATTGGCCACCACCAGGAACTTTAGAGTCGACTGTACGGTATTTTTTACTTAAATAAATGACCTAATGCATCTCTTCTCTTGTTTTTATTATTAATTTATTCAGTTATCATTCAAGAGAACGATGATCAAGTTCAGTCTTTAGATCTTCATATTTAGATAGTTTCATTTTTCAGTTCATCATTATAAAGTCTCGTATTACAATGCTCGTGTAAAATCATTGTGCGGCTTACACCAAGGAGAAGGTATTGGGAGCAAAAACGTACTGAGCTGGGAACTTTAGAATGGATAACCTTTAATCCCAACTACTTAATCCGAATATCCACTGTGGAAACTTTTAATTTTAGTCCTTAATCCACTCTTTTCTCTCTCTTTGGATATCCGTACATTATTTTCTCCAATGAGAGTACAGGAATATAGTTTGTAAATTGTATTGACCAATGACAGCCTTGAAAATAAATTCTATCCCATGACAGAAATCCGCGATTTCTAACAAATCAAGAATTTGTTGTCGGCCATTTTGTATATTAATCGATGAAGAAAAATATTTAATAATACGTTTGAGATTCTTTTGTAACCAATTTTAACTAATGTATTAGTAAATAAATGGGTGAGAAATTAATTGAAGGCCCTTCCAGTCAGGAAAACGAACAAATCTGGCATTCTTAGAATCCAATTTGTTGATCAAGATATTTAATCTCGAGACTAACATAATCTCGAGATTATGTTAGTCTCGAGATTAGCTGAAAGAGAGGATTAAAGCATTAATCCTGATATCCACCATTCTAAAGTTTCCAGCTCTGGACTTGTTCAAAGTATTCTTTGTGGGTAACCCTGTACAACAATCTTTAAAATGGTATCTCTATCAATATAAAATTATGGTTCTTATACATTTATCATCATTATAAAACTCTTTAACAATCAAATATATTTGGTTTTATAAAATCACACATTTTAGACATTAATCTACATCATCATTCAGGATATACATTTTAAAATTTAAAAATGAAGTTCACATATATCTCATTTTCTGGTTTATAAATTTGCAATTTTAGATATTTCTTGAGAGTAATTTCATCTTAACGACTCTTATCCCCGTCTTGCAGGCTTTATGATAATCTCTGTTAAAATGGTCCTTAGAGAGGTGGACGGAGGGGGGGAGGTTTTAAAATAAAGAGTAAAATATTTTACTTTCTTTATATATATTCTCATAATCGTACACTTGAAAAAAGATTACAAACAAAAATATTATAGTGAGACCCAATTCGCTTTGAAATAAAAGGCGACATTTAAGAAATCTTATGTGCAGTATTTGATGTTTTACAAGTGCTTAAAATCAACTTATGAAGTGTGACATATCTAGAGTGTAACAGTCATCATCCTATTCCACAGTTTTTTAGGTTTAAATTTAGATTTTCAAAAAAGAATTGATATTTAAAAGAGGGTTGTGTAGGGGGGGGGGTACAGTCCAATTTATGATGAATATCTGAATTAATGATTTTGATTAACGTCCGACAAATAAACTAGATATATCTTTGGCTCTGATTCTAACAATTAATATAAAATATCTAAACTCGAAATATTTCTCTCGAAACTACAGGCTACAAACAGCCTTCGCTTTACATTACATTTAAAGGTGGAACTTAATCAAATCACCGGCGCTCATACAGGGTTGTAAAAAATTACTTTTCTATTAATAACACCCATTTTAATTGTAACAACATATTTGATGTTGAATAAAAGGGACACATAATTGTTGCTGTAAACCATCGCATCTGTTGCTTTGTGACGGCCATCTTGTTTTTCAAAGAATCCATTTTAAAACTGTCTTCTTGTCAACTGTTGCTGAAGCAGAGTAAAAAACTGGATGAATAACTCCGTGCCAAATTAGTTGAAAGGAATGACATGTTCGTTGAGGTTTTGTTCCACACCTCAGGATTGATTTCTCGTGTTTGTTTGTGCCAACTCCTTGTCCTCATTCATCAGAGTAGAACTAGGCAACAACAAGGTCTAATATCAGCTCTGCAGAAGGGGGGGGGGGGGGACACGGAACTAATGAGTTATGTTGCAAAATGAGCTAAATAGATTAGATTCTATCCCGTCACCGGGCCCTGTGTCAGAAACCACCCTCTCGTCCTTGTTTTGAGGGATTAGGAGAGGAGTCGAATTGTCTAGGGGGAGATATAGGTTCGGAGAGAAGTGGACCTGAGTATATGGAGTTGGTTTCAGGATCAAACCCTCGGGGTTTGATTAAGCTCTGAGGTGTGAGGGATGAAAGAATTGGAGTATCTCGTGGGTATTGGTGATATGGAACATGTGTTGTATACTCAATCAATAGGTTCCGTTCTAATGGCAGGTTTGGTGGCAACTCGGAGTCGGATTCAACCTCAGCTTCAAGAAGATCCTGAGGTTTAGAGTATCCTGGAGCGTGTAGAGTTGAATATCGTCCCGGGTTGGGATGGCACGGATTTCCTCCACGTCCTGAGGTACACATGGAGGCTATACTTGAACCTGGAGCAGAATGAATCCCACAAGGAGAAGCTGAGTGTCTAGAACCCTTGCTAGATCTTGTGCTCCCGAACCCGTACAATCCTTGGTTACTCTGCTGACTCCGGGGCCTAGTTAAACCAGCATCTATCCGTCCCAACCTATCAGCCGGACTCTCAGATCTCCGAATGGAGTCTAATCTCTGTTTATGTTGGAAGGATGATGACACATTCTCATAGAATGTTGGTAGAAGTTGGTCCGAATGGTTATTGTTTGAATGGTTTTTATCCCGCTTTTTCTTCTGCCTTGAACCTGGTCTGCTCCCAGTACAACCCAGATCGTTGGTATAGTTTGACTGAGTATTCAGGTCTCCATGAGGGACGGTCATCTTCCCTCCTGATATGTTTCCTCTGTTCTGTTGTTTCTTAGGATCAGAATCTGAATTTAGCTCCTGGTTAGAACTAGCATTGGACGCCCAGTCGGAGCCAGAAGAGGATGAGCTTCGACTCGTTTTGGCTCCGTAAGAGAACCCGTTGATTTGTTGGTTTAGCTTGGTAGTGCTTCCAGTAAGGGTGTTTAGTCCGTTTACATGGACATGGACTCCGGGTCTCAGAGGCCATTTGTGAACAGGTTGGGACGGTCCTGAACCTGGGAGCTCCGTATCCTTTCCATCTATGACAGGGTCGGAACACTTTTCTCCAGAGGGTTTTTTCCTGCAAAAGAAAACAAGAATTCCTATTATTATTGCTGCCACGAGAGCAGCGGTTATCACAGCCACAATCACTATAATATTAGTGTTTGATATATTCTTGAGTACTCCTATACCCTGAATATCTATTTCACAAGGAACTCCCAGTCCTACAGTGTTATTCACAAAACAATAGTAAGTTCCTAGGTTCTCCTGTAGGATTGGTATTCTTAGGGTGCTCTCCCGAGCATGAGTTTCAATTTCTCCGTCGTAGGTTTCATTCCCTCTCTTCCAGTTGAATGAAACCTGTGACGGGTTTGCATCTGCTCTACACGTCAACACTATTTCATCATCCAGCTTCTCCTGGTGTATCTCACACTCTGGTTTATACATCACGTTGATATGAGTCGTTACATATCCTGTACCATGCCTGTTCGCAGCTTCACATGTATATATCCCTCCCTGGTCCCTAGCTGCAGGGGTACCGAAGAACAGAACATTGTGAGTTTGAATAACTTGATCCTTGAATCTCCACATATAACTAGCTTCTGGATAAGCCTGAGCTCCGCACACAACTCTATCAGGAACTTCGTTTTCTAGCACGTCAATTTTCTCCTGTAAACACAACCATCATCTTTCAATTAATTTAGCAATAAAAAATATATATTTTGTATAAAATCTATAATCCTGGTTCTGTCTTCAATTAAACTTTCAATCCAATAAGTGAGGCTTAAACTGGAAAAAGAAAACAAAATTGATTTCGATGGAGCTCTGTGGTAAAACATTGAAAATATAATTTCTATTTTCAATTTTCATCTTTTTAGTTTTACTTTGATGTTTTCATTTCCTAGAAAATGGTTTAATTTGAAAAAATAATCAATTTTTGAAACTATAAAAAAGCAAAAGATGTAGTTCCTTGGAGATGAAAAGATTATCAGGAGCGTATTCGACCCTGAAATGTGTGGCACTGTAGACCCCAGGTCCAGCATCTGTTTCTGTACTCCTGAAAACAAAACTCAAATGTTACAAACATTTTGAAAAAATTATTGAAAAAAAAACAATATTCATACACTTCATAGATATACATGCGTATCAAAATAATGGAAAAAAATTTTTAATAAAAGTGTATTATTCAGCAATTCTATAAAATTTCAACTAGTTTTTTTGTTTATCAAATTATCTGGCATCCATTGAAAAACTTGATTTATAGAAAATATTAATTTCAACCTTTAAATCGTAATATTTGAAGAGTTTTAGTTTAAATTCGCATTCTTTGCTTATGACCCGAATACCTGCAGGAGTAGTTTGCATTATCCGTCTGCCTGTTTAACCGGCCTCCAGGCAGATTCTCCAGGTTCCAGGAGAGCAGGGAGAGGACGGATTCGAAATCATTCTTGGAGTAATTTGGAGGAACCTGGAATAGAAAATACAAGGTGTTATCCTTTTGTAATTATTGAAAACAACTTATCATCATCATCATCATCATCATCATCATCATCATCATCATCATCAGCATCATCATCATGAGATTATAATAGATTACTTTTTTATATTTTCAATGAAATCTGAAATGGTTTCAATCATAGCTTTTTTAGAGGACTGTTTGAAAAGTTACAAATACAACATCAGGTTGCAAATATTTAGAGATTAGAAAACTAAATTGTTTGGCGAGTAATCAGTTGCTTTATGTAACATATGTATATGCTGTAGATAAAACAATCATGAAAAATATAGAAGATGAAAGAAGGCAAGGAATGCTTCCCCGGAATTTAATAAAGGAAAAGAATTATATTTTCTACATTCTTGAAAATATAATCTTTTTAAAAACGTCAGCATTGTAAGATGCAATTTTATTATTAAACAAACTGTCTGCATCAGAATTTAAGAGGGTTATATTGTCTTTCATATATAGTGGTGTGTTGACTTTAATACTCTTATTAAATTTTATTGTTTTATAAAAGATTGTGGATGGAACAAATGTTGGTAAAATCTTTACATGAGAAATAAAAACTAATTTATCGCCTCAAACTCTATTCTACTAATTTTTATATCATTGCAACCTGCAGTCGCAGATCTATGACTATGAATTCTGATTCTGATTAAATAAAATAGCACACTGTAGCAGACCAAAGGAGAAGGTTATGCTTATGCGACATTGCTAGTACGACTTTGTGACCTTGATAGCTTCTCTAGTTTAATTTTGATTTTGAGGGAAGCTAAATAATTGGTTAAATACTAGAAATTAAAAACATACTCTTTCTTCTCTATAGGTTTTCAATAAGAGGCGTTATGGTTGAAAACTGTAAGATGTCAAATTAACGTAAAATTTGCATCAATATGAGGTGATAGTCAAAGTTCTAAATATGGGTTCCTTTCTTCTCAAACGTGAATTCCAAAAATCAAATGTTTTCTACCTGTCTCGTTGTTATGGTGTAGTAATCACTGCTTGTCTCTATTGGTGCTCCGTCCTTTAAAATAAAAAATATGAAAGGGACTTTTAATGTAACTTATAGAGAACACTGAGTTCAACACCGCAACCGTATCATTTGAACTTCTTTATTAGAGACGATTAGAACTTTTCCCTTTTCTAAATTGGACAAGTCATGACAATTTTTTCCTGTTAGTTTGTTATATAAAATTCTACCAATAACATTCTAGAAAACTCAGGTTTTTAAGTTTTATACAAAGGAACTAAACAATTGCCACATTTACACTAGTCTTCCAGATTTCGTTTACCTTGGATATTTCGAACTATGAGTTCTGTGTCCGAATTTAATGAATTTAAGCCGTGTCTCAAATCCTCAAAAACCGGTTTCAATTGAGTGCCGGCTTAAATTTTGAAAAATTTAATACAATTTTAAGTAAAACCAACAATATTTGAGCCGCGGCTTAAATTCTTTAAATTCGGACTCTGATGGATTAATTTATTGTAGTTTAAAATATCAAAGTTTACAACATTAGGTTAAAAAATTTAGGTATTTGAAAATCAAAGTTTGTGAAAAATTTTCGAATATTTTCTATCCAAATTACGTTGCGAATTGTTTTGAAAAAAAGAGTCACTTAAAATTAATACACAATCCCTTAAATAAAAGCTCACTATTTTCCCATCATAGTGGGGGGGGGGGGGAGGGTATTTTCCCCAGAATTTAATCCTTGAATACGATGTTTTTATATTAAATATTAAATCAGGTCTCAGCTGGGGATAAAAGTTAATATTTCCTCTGTTTATTGAAAATTTAGGAACCCCGCACGCAGAACATATTCTAACATGAAAATATAAATAAAAGAAAAATATCAACAATTAGAAACTCCAGAATATTAGAAATTAATAGAAGCAATAAGAAATCTACGGAAGGAGTCAAATAATAATGAGATAAGGGGATAGAAAGCCTAAAGGATTATATCAATCGCTTGATTATATTAATGCATTTCAACAATTCATAAAAGCAAAAAAGAGTTTATAATATTTAAATATAACCAAGGTATTAAGTAATATCACTATATTTTTTTAAATATAACCAACCTTAAACCATGAGATTTGACAGAGAGGTGAACATTCCACTTGACAACTCAGAGAAACATTGGTAGATTCACTTGTAAATCCTATAATATCATTCTTCAGTTCAGTTAATGATAATAGATTAATCGACTTAATTCGATTTTTACAGTGTGAACTTTTGAACGGAAATGTTTAGGTTGACATCTGGTGATATACAGGAATCCATTAATGGATATTTTAAAAATAATCCAAAGAAAAGGGTGGCTGTATCCATGATGACTTAAACTAAACACTTCCCTCAAACTAAAATTGTCTGATCCCCATATCTTCGTAAACTGAAGGAGGACACCTTTGATAATTAAAACTATTTGAACTTACATAATTCATAGTTTAGGATATCAAAGATCTACGACATCAGGTTTCAAAAATAATTGAGAGTACTATGAATGAATTTAAAAGTTTTGCTCTCTCTGTGCACGGTAAACTTTGCAGGTTCATTTTCAATTACCTGACCGAGTTTTGACTGCACCTAGAGCAAGAAAGTACAGTAGACTTTGTTAGGCAACTAAACCGGGATAGTACGCCAAATAAATTATCCCCTTCTATAGTGTAATTTTTCTATAATTTTGAAACCAAGTGAAACTTAAGAAAAAGAATACCTGTGTAGGGTTTAAGGCTCTCAATGAAAGCTGGTTGAGCGTGAACTTGAAGGGTTTGGGAATCCAGTCTCCCTGCTCCAACCTCATTTACAGCCTAAACTTGTTTTCAATCAGAAACAGACATTTTGAAAGGGAGTGGGTTCTGCACAAACACTGATTTTCTACCCTAAATATCTTTACAGTCCGAGGTCGTAGACCTTTCATATTTCAAACTATGAATTCTGTTTGATCAAATAGTCTAAGTTTGAAATATCAGAGGTTTACACCATTAGGTTTGTAAATATGTAGGTTAAATTTGAGGTTGTGGCAAAAACTCAGTACTTACCTCTGTTTCTCAAATTTTATTTTGTTAAAAGTGGTTTTTAGATTTTATTTGTAAATGTTTTTTTAATTTATTTTACGTATTAAACTAACAAAATATCAAAGTTTTCAATCGTTTAGTGAGATCCCGGGTAGAATCTTAGAGTCTGAAACCTAGTCTTAGACGCCGGGCCGACCTCCTCAGACCCTCTGTTTTTGGAAAAAAATATCAAATTTCAC